ATCCCTAGATTCTGTCTATGTGTATATACTCGTAGATAATAGCTATGTGTTTAACGGCCCTTAATGGTTTGTGTATACAAATGTAAATAAATAGCAGGCATAACAGATTGTTCAATTTAAATACGGCTTTAGATATTTATTAATGAATTATTATCCTCCTTCTATTCCGACATAATTACGAACAGTATACAGCTTGAATCAATAATTACCTTTGGAAAATGAAAGTGTAATGTATTATCCAAAAATAACGCTTATAAGATTATACAATTACCTCTATTATAAATATCTCATAACCAAGACCAAACATCATAGCGTTCCACTTACATTAAAAATCGATCTTGTTTTATAGCGACTCGTGCACAACATCATAAAAATTTATAATCGCCCAAGAGTACTGTAATTGTGTCATTTTAAAGCCTTACGTTCGCTACTTGTAAGCTCTGCCAAGTACTTTTTCATTCGCTAACAGTAGAAATTATGGTGACTTCGTTCATCGTTTGGCCGAGTAAGCCTGGCAAATGTATATCGTTATGATGGTGAGCTATGTTATTTAATCCTACCATGACCCGGAAAGAAGATTTCATTTGATCCGGGTCCTATACCCGTATTGAAGTTAACCGTTTGTACGGTTAAGTCGGTATTTTATTTGCAATACAAACGAGCAAGTTAGTTACTTACACATTTTTTAATAATATAGATTATATTAATTAAGATTGATTAAGTGTTTTGTTACTGGGAGAGGAAACTACGTAAACTATATATCTATAAGATATTTGTTGAATTATTTTATTTATTTCTTAAGCACATAATATACATACTAAACATTAACATACTAAATAATATGAAAAGTAACACGCTCATTGCTATGTATGTCAATAATAAATGTACATACGAGGGCGGCACTGAAAATTTCGGGAACCAAGGAAGTGACACAACATTACTATTTAAAAATGTATTTATTGCTTTTCGGAGTATTCTCCGCAAAATTTGACACATTTTTCCATACGATAGAACCAATCATTGAAGCAACCATTCCATTCGGAAGTTGGGGTCTCCAAAATGGCCGTTTTGTAGGCGTCCACAGCTTCTTCAGGTGATGAAAAACTCTGTCCACGCAATTTATTCTTTATTTTAGGGAAAGTATAGAAATCATTAGGGCTTAGGTCGGGGCTATACGGCGGATGGTCTAATAATTCTATGTTTTCTTGCTCTAAAAACTCTTTTGTTCTGTGTGCGGTGTGAGAACTCGTATTATCGTGATGGAGGATGATGCGGCGGTTGTAGTTCTCTTTACGAAGTTCAGAAACGACCTGTGGTAAACAAATGCTAGCATACCATTCTGCATTAACCGTTCTTTGTCCCTCAATAGGAATAGTCGTAACATGGCCGGTTTTGGAGACAAACGTGGCCACCATTTTTTTGCAACACTCCGTGAACGAACAATTTTTGTTGGCTTTAACTCATTTTCGAACACCCAAACTCGTGACTGGTTTTTTGTTTCGGGTTCGTACGCGTATATCCAGGATTCGTCACCTGATACGATGTTGTATACAGCATTTGAGGATCCTGCGTGGAATCTTTTGAGAGTTCTGACGCACCAAGTAACGCGGGCAGCTTTTTGCTCTTCACGGAGCGAATGCGGTATCCATCGAGAAAACAACTTTTTTACACCTAATTGTTTATGCAAGATTATTTGTATTTGACTCATGCCAATGTCTAATGTTGCCTGAATTTCGCGGTATGTCACATGTCGATCTTCCTCAATCAGCTTACGCACAGCATCAACGTTTTCTTGGGTGACTGCAGTTTTTGGACGACCTTGACGGGGATCATCACTGAGCTTAACACGTCCACGTTGAAATTCAGCAAACCAACGATAAATTGTGGTTTTGGATGGGGCTTCATCACCAAATGCAGAAATAATCCGGTCAACACACTGTTTTTGTGTTAAACCACTTCGAAAGTCATAATAAATCATCGCTCTTGAATTTTCTCGAGTCCATTCCATTTTCTCAACGACTAAACAAGTTTGACAAAACCTTGTGACAAGACCGAGAATCTTTTTTTAAATAAATAAATGGTATTCGATTTTTAAAACCAAGGACTTTTCAATTAAAAAGATTTTAATATGACAGGAAAAGTGGAAATATTCCATTCCCGATACTTTTAGTGCAGCCCTCGTAACATTCACCAACAAATACATGTAAACATTGAGAAGGAAACAAAAGGAAAAAATGCGTGAGTGTCGTGGAACGCTTGGTTGGAATGAAGTTCCTTAATTCCTTTCGTAGTATATTATTATTGATAAACGTATTATATTATTGATTAACAAAAACAAATAAATGAATTACTAGCATCTATTAAAATGAAGCATCATTTAAAATAAAATGATATTTCTTTCATGGCAAGATAAGAAAAAGTGCGAGGTAGATGGATGTTATTCCATAGTTTAACTAGTTCGCCTTCCTTCGGGAACCCGTGCATTCTGGTCTCTCGCCAAGGCTGTCCAAGAGAATTTCTGTAAGCCATTACTACCATCTCTATGGTAGTGATGGCTTACAGAAATCCCCATGCAGAGGCACAGGGAGGACGACTCACTGGCCCAAGCCGCAAAAGACAAAGCCGACATTTTAGGCTCCCTTTTTGCGTCCAACTCGACTCTTGATGATTGGGGGAAACCACCGCCTACCATCCCTCGGTGTGAGTGCTTCATGCCTGATGTGCTGTTCTCACAGCGCTTGGTTCGCAAAGCACTCCTCTCCCCGGACATCCAGAAGTCGAGTGGGCCTGACGGAATCCCTCCAATTGTGCTGAGGACGTGTGCTCCGGAGTTAGCACCGGTCCTAACGCGTCTTTTCCGGTACTCCTACTCCCAAGACGTAGTCCCGAATTCATGGAAGACAGCTTTTGTCCACCCGTCCCGGTCTTTTGTCCCTAAAAAAGGCGACCGCTCAGACCCGTCCAACTACAGGCCTATCGCCATCACCTCCTTGTTCTCCAAAATAATGGAATCCATTATTAACTGCCAGCTCATGCGGTACTTTGAGGATCACCAGCTGATTAGTGACCGCCAATACGGTTTTCGTCGGGGTCGATCAGCTGGTGATCTTCTGGTCTACCTGACCCATAGATCAACGCTTACCCCTTGGCAGTAGAGTCCAAGGGGTAAGCGTTGACCTTTGGCTTGGACATTGCGAAGGCCTTCGATCGGGTTTGGCACAAAGCGCTTCTTTCGAAGCTCCCTTCCTATGGGCTTCCCGAAAAATTTTGCAATTGGATCACTAGCTTCCTTGCAGATCGGAGCATCAAGGTCGTTGTAGACAGTGCATGCTCCGACTACAAGTCTATTAACGCTGGTGTTCCACAAGGCTGTGTGCTATCACCAACGCTGTTTTTTCTGCATATCAATTATATGTTGCTAACTGGTAGCATTCATTGCTATGCGGATGATAGCACTGGTGATGCTCTATACACCAGCCGTGCCAATATTTCTCGGAAAAACGTCGCCAAGTACCGATACTTGAAGAACAAACTTGTGTCTGAAGTCGAGTCTTTGCTGAACAAAGTCTCGGATTGGGGGCGACTAAATCTAGTCCAGTTTAATCCTCAGAAGACACAAGTTTGCGCGTTTACCGCTAAAAAGAACCCCTTTGTCGTATCTTCTCAGTTTCTCACTCCCCTTCTTGCCTCAGCCAGTATCGGAATCCTCGGAGTCGACATATCGAGTGACGTGCAGTTTCGTGGTCACTTGGAAGGGAAGGCCAAATTGGCCTCTAAAAAGCTTGGCGTGCTCAACAGAGCGGGACAGTATTTCATGCCGGCACACCGTCTACAACTTTACAAGGCGCAGGTTCGGCCTCACATGGAATACTGTTCCCATCTCTGGGCAGGGGCTCCCCAGTGCCAGCTCCTTCCACTTGACCGCATCCAGCGAAGAGCGGCTCGAATCGTCGACGACCGAGTCCTTTCCGATCGGCGCGATTCATGGGCACTGCGAAGAGATGTTGCATCCCTTTGCATTTTCTTTCGCATTTACCACGGGGAGTGCTCTGAGGAATTGTTCGGATTAATCCCAGCCAAAATTCACGAATGCACATCTCGCCAGAACTCCCGATACCATCCACACCATCTGGATGATTGGCGGTCCACCACTGTGCGATTTAGAAGATGTTTTCTTCCTCGCACGACTTCCTTGTGGAATCAATTATCATCAGCGATTTTTCCGGACCGATAGACTTAGGGACCTTCAAGAAAAGAGCCTACTCCTTTTTAAAAGGCCGGCAACGCATCTGCAATTCCCCTGGTTCCCCTGGTGTTGCAGTTGTTCATGGGCGGCGGTAGTCACTTACCATCAGGTGAGCCGCATGCTCGTTTGCCCCCTCTCCTATGTAAAAAAAAAGCTCAGATATTCCATTATATTTCTTTCACATATGCGAATCATGAGAGCTTGCTTACCAAGATGGGTTCTAGCGAATGTGAAATGTTTTTAGAGAAGAATTACAATAGCGAGGATATCTTCTTGGTTCTGATAGGGGAGCCCGTTCAAGCAGCTTACTGCACTTGACTTTTGAAAATGATTATTTTATGCAAGAAACACAAATCAAGTATCTCGCACCTACTTCGAGGAGACATCATTTTAGATGCAACCAATCTTTGATTAACTACATTATCAATTGCATAACTTGAGAGTCTAGTGGCTTTTTCTTATTGGTATACTTTGCATGAAAACATTTGTTCACTAAAGTCATACTATAGAACACGAATTAGTGATCGTTATGATTATTTCAAAATAAACAATAGTGGTGTAAGCTTATTTTCTTTTTTGTAATTTGTACTTATTTTTGGCATTATTAACATACCCTGTGTAGGAAGCGCTTTCTTCAGTCGTTTAAAATTTGTAGTTGATAGTTGAAGATATTATGTTACATTGATAATAATTGATAGATGATGTAATTTTAATATAATATAGATAGTGTCTCTTAATTAAGTCATAGACTTACCTCACTGAAGAATTCGTCCATGAAGCCGCCTTCAACGGCGACGTTGACATCGTCGGGCCCAACGTCGTCATCGTCACTTTGCGCCTGCAATGAAAAAAAAAATTAATAAATTTACGTAATATACAAATAAAAATATGTTTCATAACATTTACATTGTGCCAGTAACACAATTTTATCTATTATTGTCACCAAAAAGAAACAGAATAATTTATTTGAAGTTGGTTGCATGGGCCCCAGTCGTGTCCAAGGGCCCCAGTAGCCACTTACCATCAGGAGAACAAGCAAGCTCGCTTACTACTTAAAAGTTATAAAAAAACCATGCCTTTATTTAATGCAGGAACCTTTAAGGCTCATATACAAGGCGTTTTCCTATGCCAAACGCGGGCAACGCAAGTTACAGCACTTTTAACGGTTAGTCACCGCCAGTAAACCTTTGCAAACGTTTAAAATTCGATTGATAGGGAGTAAACCGTCGACAGTAGATTGGTCGTTCATTCAACTAGTGTCCGTTGACGCCCATGGCAACCCTCATCAACAGTCGTACGATGGCGTCGATCGAGACAACACTGCTTACGTTGGCTCCATTGCTGTTTTTTTTTAAATATCCGACTTTATTGGATAGTCCAATTTACGCAACGTAAATCTTGCGGGTAATGCTTGTTTCTATACAAAAGTATAGAAGCTCGTCTTACGCACATCTGCATACGTCGCAATATATTTTAAGCGGAAGAGCCATGCTGCAGACATAGCTGCTGAACTGATACGCCGACTCGACCGGAGAAGGGCCACGCTCTCACAAATTACCACAGTGAAGCAGCAGAATTATGGCGCTTTCGTATGTTGAACCGGAGAGCCGGAGACTTATTTTACTGGTATAGGGGCGGCAACGCGTCTGCATTTTTATTCTTAATCGAGAATAGATGTCGATGTCTAACTTACTTCCTACCATCAGAATATTGAATTATTTCAATCTACGAATGAGCAAGCATTTATATTTAGGCTGAACTAAGCAGTCGGCATCGTATTTTTATTCCTTAAGAAAAATATTGTGTTATATTACTTTACTAAGCTCATGTTTGCAAAAAAATTAAATGGCGCTGATGCTGGGAGACTAGGTCAAGGCACGCGCTGTAATGCTTGCCGAAGTAATTGTATGTACTTATGGAAAAATATATAATGTATATTGAGCGCGTCTGTTTTAATAACTATTAAAGAATTCCAACATCGAGATAGTGCTAAATTTGACCCGATCATTTTTAAGAATGATCATCGATTTCTCGGAAATTGGATTATTTATGTTTTCAAGGGAGAGATTCGAGGGAAAAAATTGCGAGTGGTCAACAGTCCGTTTTCTGCCTTTTTTAAGGAGAAATACAAATATTTTTACTTTACGGCATAAACATGTTATTTAACCACTCTGAATAATTTATTATATAATGTTTAGTATAGCATATATAATCTTAGTACATTTTATAAGTCTTCCGTGAATTTATTTACCGATCATATATATCACCCATAACAAGTGATGAACATGAATATTTTTTTGCGTTTCCATTGATTATGGTATGCTACTCGTATTACAGCGAAATGCTTTTGCGTTACCATGACCTAGATCCCAGTGCGCCGTATAACAATGCCCTCCGTCGCAATGCACCTGCATATGCGTATTACGTAGCTTCACCGCGACTAATTTATGGATTCATGTTTGATAAGATGTCAAAAATATTTTATTTGTTATCTTATAAATCGAACGTATAGTACTTGTTAGTGAATCCAAGTCAACAGTTTATTTTCATTTTAAATATCATTTTTCAAATCTTTAACACTTTATTTCACAATACGGCGACTGGCAGACGTTCAATTTCTTTTATAATTTACGAAATAAATTGACTTTATTGCATTTTATTTCAAACTTAGGTTATATATTGTTAGTGATTTTATTATAGATATTTAACATCAAAATAAACTGTTTACTTGGATTCACTAACAAATGTGTTCTTTAGGCATCTTTGTAATATGCGCTAATCGCATGTAGGTACCGCAGATTTGAGTCGGATTTTTTAATACAATTATGTATGATAAAAGAGTGTGATTATGTATGAGAAAAGTGCTCGCCGTAAATTTCACAGTACGCCAGCAACCTGGGTATAATCCCCACCGGCACCGATGAAGTTGTTGAATGCAATTTTAAGTGCGGCTTTACCACGCGCTTGGCGGTGAAGGAAAACAACAACGAAACCTGCTTGTCTGAGTAATAAAATATATTGAAATTTGGATTATTTTCAATTTTAATAGCCTCGGGAATCGTTTTTTATTTTGCGAGAATTTGTAGTTTATCGAATGTGATGTAATGACTGTCCCAGTCATCACAGACTAACAACACATGTTCACAGACTAAGAAATCATTAAGTGGGACATAACTTTACTTGTTACTTTTATGAGTGAAACGCGCCGACATGATCGTATGTCGGTCGATTCTCTGACCCAGCAAATGATAGACATCTACAAACTACACATAAATTTAGGTCTCCGCATTTCGTCATACAAATAACAGTAGAATTATGATGTTATGTATATTGCGTTTTTATTCCGATTTAGCATTGTCTCACCTATTCGAACTGATTCATTCTTGCTGCAGCTATTGCGCAGTTGCACCGTGGCTCTACCACTCTAATTCTAGTTGATATCATACCGAAAATTAAACAAATGTATAATTATGTTAAGTTTACTTTAACATTTTTGTTAGAAGAAGGCAATGGTGACAAACGAGCACACAGTTCACCTATTTTTAATTATCAGCTAAGAATTAAAATGCAGATGTTTTCACCCCCGAATACTAAGAGGGAATGTTGGGAATGCATCGAATCACACTACATACGAAACTCAACATCGGCAGCATTATGGTGCTGTATTCTGTGCGAGCGTTGTCCTTCCCCAGTTGAGCAGACCCATCAGCTGTAGTCATAATACGCTGCAGTTTGGTTTCACCACGCGAATACGATATTAATGCTTATTATCACCACCACCTACATCATTGCAGCCCTCCACAAGTTCACTGTTGAACATAAGCCAAGAAATGAATTAATGTAGGAATGTCAATTTGAAACCGATTTTAGCGAATATAAAATACGATACAAAAATTTAAAATTCTGATCAAAAAAGCGTTTCGTCGCCATTGATATATTAAAAGTTCGTCGCTAAAGAATTTGGCTTTCCATTTCACAACAGTCAGTGTAAAGTAAACATCCGCCCCGTAGTGCACGGACCCTGTTGTGGCCTGCCGGGTGCCGGCTGCCCCTATAAATTGAATAATGACCAGCCTGCCTCAACTAAGTGGATTCTATTTTGCTCTACGTGCTCCATCCGACCGACCTTTTCGATGTTATATGAAGTACGAAAATATCCGACTTTTTACAGCTATAAGCCCACTCCATTATTATGTATAATATGTTACTATACAGAAGCACTTATTCTTTATTCCACGAGTACATAAAATAATTTATTACATCGAAGTTTATATTGTTTTTGATGGATTTTTTATTAGGTTACGAGTTGTTTGAAACATTGTTATTATTGTAGCGTCGCGTGGTTGTATCACATTTGTTTTGGTTATTTCTATTTATAAAATTTACATAATATAATATCATCGCATTTAATCTAATCAGAGTTCTTTGATATTATATAATTACAATACTTTGAAATTTGTATTACCTTTATTTTTAGTTTAGTTTCCGTTACATTTTCTGTTATGTTAAAAACATTATATGAAAAATGAATATAATATATTATACATAATAAAAATGATTGTATATTTAATAAAGCAAGATTTATCAAAATCACCCAGACCCAGATTTCCAATAATGAACATAAGTTTGAAGACATGATATGATGATACTACAAAGACTGACAAAACTTTTTTCAAGAAATATTACTAAACATCGTAACTTTGATGATAAAATACCAATTCTTTATTACAAAATACGTGTAAGGAGGGATATAAGAAAAATAATAGATTTTAGAGCATACATTTCGTCGTGAAAAAGTTAAAACTACTTATAATTTTCGAATGCTTTTATTTAAAAAATATATAAATTAAAGTATACTCATACACATTGTAATGTAACTAATATTTAATTGGCAAAATATATTGTACTTATTAAATTTAGAAATAGTCGTAGCAATGACATAAGTCGACTCATCTGTTTTCTTTTTTTTACTTTGATAATCAATGTTACGTTGTACTAGCGACCTCTAACTAAACTGTGTGATCGCACTGAATTATTATTATTTACTTGGAAAATTGGTCAAGTACCTCTTCCGACATCGTAAGGTCGGGTTCCGCTACGCAGATTATCTGTTATAGTTTTTTAATACTAAAATGTTCTTAGTACCCTAATTTAAATAAAGCTATTTAATAAGTGCTATTAATTTATTATTTAATATACGTAGACAGAGATTGACGGCTCCGTTAAGCAAGATATAAGAAAAAGACCATAACTTCAAACATATATTTACTTACTACCTGATCTAAGCCAGGGCTTGTTATTAGTTGATGTTATTAGTTGTTGATGTTAATTAAATAAAACATGTATATTATAATAACTTTCACAAAGTAAACTCATTTTATCTATTACGCTAAAATCGTATCGTTTTGTCGACACTAAACAGTTCTAATTGCATCTAAACGTAATAAAATGGAAATAACTATTCCAGCAACAGAGTTTATCGAATTTGTTAGCTTAAATCTATAAAATTAAGTGGCCATTAGTACAGCGACTGGTTCGTTAAACAAACTGTAGTCTATATATAGGACACTAAGTTATAATAAGTCCGCGACCTTACAGAACGGGCGATAGTGCTTGGTGCTGTTTGACTAAACTTATACGTGGTGTAGAAAGTCATAGGACCTTCTTTATTCGTATTTTATCAAAGAATATAAGAAAAATTATCTTATATTTTATTCTTTTTCTTTATATATTTTTAATGGTCAAAAGTATCTTATTATTTTAGATTTTTTCAAATCTTTAAAAATTCATAACTCCAAAAATATTAACTTTATCGTAAAAAGTCATAGGGCCTTTTTT